GTGCACTGTAAGCAACTTCCAAAACTCTAAAATTGACAGAGACATCTTACTACCTGGACAGTCACCCAAAGTTCTGTATCATTGGAGCATCCATCTTCAGCCTACAGGCCCATAGTATCTGGCAGACTTTTCCATGAAGCAGGAAATTTCAAAGACAGTTTTTCCTATATTGGCAGTTTGTCGATCACTTTCTTCTGTGTCCTGCAGAATGTCTGGCAGACTCTTTCATGAAGCAGGAATTCTGAAGGACCATCTCACCTTTAGACAAATTCGGCAGTCATTTTTCTGTGGGTCCTGCATGTTCAGTTCATATAGGATAACATCAAACAGTCCAGGCAAGAGCAGCTTCTTGCCCAAATGGCTAGCAAATTCTATAAGGAGCCTCTTCAGCGCCTGTCTTCCTCTTGAAGTAAATGGTACTGCCAGGAGCAGATGTGTCTCATTGTCAGGAAAAGTTCTAAGTTATTAAAACATTTAAATGTCATATTCTGAAGGTCTCTGAAAGATTTGAAGAATACCTATCTAACTGAAATATATCTCTATATATCTAGAAAACCTAACTAACATGACTAGAAGCTTGACTATTATAGATGATTATCTATTAACCTATATTTCTTAATTATACACTACATTTTTAAATGAGCTTCACAAACACAATACCTTAATCAAGAGCAGAAATATATATAACAAAATTGACCTTAAATTTGTATCAATAAGCCAGGAACCATAATAGTTTAAATCTTTATAGCATATTCCCCTTTAAATGTAAACAAATATTTTTAAACAATATTTGGGGAATTTGGGCATAGTTCTCTCCATATTGCTTCTTGCTTTTTGTTGGATGAAGTAATTTTTGGGGGAGTGCTCACAGTACCTTTCGGGGGGGATCTTGGTCCATCAAACCACATTAGTCTGGAATTAAGCCATAGGTTCTCATCCTCTGTGGAAACAAAAAAAAAAAAAAAAACCTCTTTTCCAAAGCAACAAATCCTAGACCCAAATGTTGGAAACAATATATCTTTAAAATATATAGGTTGGTTTAGCTTAGCAGCCCATACAATAAAATGTCTCTCTGTACTTAGCTCTTTCACAGTCAAAAAAATTTAAAGAAAATACAATGATATTCATAATCCTGATTCTCTCTATATATTCCATCTTTATGTGGCTTATTTTTCTTACTCTATTACTTTTTCTACAAGTTTAATATTTATTTTGTTATCTTTACTCCTTTAATCTATGACTGCCTGTACTCTTTTATATTACACTTACTGTCTCTTTACTCTTTTTCTTTTCTCTCCCAAGCCTATGTACATTTTTAAATACACTGTATCGAGGTCTTTTATGTCTGAATCTGTCCTATTATGTATCTGAAATCATTTTCTGTCCAGGAGTGCTTCTTGAAATGCTAAGTGGCATTACTGGGACTAAGGCTGCTTTGCTTTTGACTCCACCCAGCCCAACATGTTGGAGGGCGGTTCATTGCTTCTGAGAGCCATTGTTCCCTGTAGACCGGATGCAGATGGAACAATATGGGGGCAGCAGAGGGGAAATAGAGGTGTTGATTTAAGCAACTCAAACTCACAAAGAATCAATTCATACATAGACATGTCATTTCTTTATTAACCAGGTTAAGGTTAGTGAGGTGTTTTTTTCCTTCTACATGCTGGACTTTTCTGTCTTGTCAGCCTGTTCCTGAATAACCACATGGAGTCTTCTTATAAATTCTACAAGTTTGGTCAGTAGCTTAGGCTTGCTTTTAGCTAGCTCTTATAACTTGAATTGACCCATTTCTGCCCCCCTCTCTGGCTTGTTCACATCATCTGTGTACTTTCCATGCTGCTTCTTCTGCATCTGGCTAGCAACTCCTGCAGCTCCACCCTTCTTCTCCCAGCATTCTCTCTGCCCCGAAATTCATGCCTAGCTACTGGCCATTTAGCTTTTTCATTAACCCAATTCCAGTGACATTACAGTCACACAGTGTAAAGGAATCTTCCACAAGACTTAATGCTGGTAATGAGGACAACAGACACTGGTGGCTTTCAATGTCTGAGCAGTATTGGATAATCCATCCTCCTGTGCCTGTCTCTGAAGTCTCCTGCTCCCCATCCCCCTTCACCTCCAGTTTGCATTCCATGTCAAGCTCTAGGGTTACAGACACATGTAACTTGCCTGATTTTCTACCTTGGTGCTGGGAATTTGAACCCATGTCCTCAAGTTTGCACAGCAAATGTTCTTACCTGCTGATCCATCTCCCACCCCACCAACATTTTTTAAAAACGCAATTGTATTGTTTTCGGTGTGAATATAAGACAATCTCGAAAAACATGGAGAATAAGGACATAATGTAAAACAAGGATTTAAAAGGTAGAAAAATTGGGGGTAAAGGGGATTTAATGTTAACATGCAGTCTGTAACAGGTGAGTGTTTCCAGGGTGTCTAGTGTCTGTCTTAATCTATTCTTGCCTTTCTTCAACCTGTTTACAGCACAGGCCATAGCCACAGGCTAGGTATCAATCATTCATCAGGAAAATCCCTACAGACATGCTCACAGACCAATCTGATAGAGTTGAGAATCAAGTAGATATAAAAAACAATACTACTTCATAGGAAGTAAAAACCAAGATCTTTGGGTTTTTTTTTCTTTTCTTCTCTTCTTCTTCTTCTTCTTCTTCTTCTTCTTCTTCTTCTTCTTCTTCTTCTTCTTCTTCTTCTTCTTCTCCTTCTCCTCCTCCTCTTCCTCCTCCTTCTTCTTCCTTTTTTTTTTTTGATATAGGGTTTCTCTGTATGTAGCCTTGGCTATCCTGTAACTTGCTCTATAGACCAGGTTGACCTCAAACTCACAGAGATTCACCTACCTCTGCCTCTGTTTCCTGAGCATTGGGGTTAAAGATGTGTGCCACCACTGCCTGGCCTTCACAGTGCTCTTAATAATTACACAATCTGTCATTCATTGGTGTGCTTTACTGTGAGTTGATTTCAGAGTGTGGTCCCTTTTCTCCATTCTGCAGGTGACACTCTGAGCCATCCTCGAGCCATGCCAGGGTCCTTGTGCTTGTCCTTCTGCCTGGAGCACTCTTTCCCTTCACAGTCAGACCTTCATGGCCTCACTTGGATACCATCTTTCCTTTTCTTCTCCTTTTTAAGATTTAAGTTTGTTTTATTGTGTTTCTTTTTCACTTTGTTTAATTTTCCGTCATTATCATTATTATTATTATTTTATTATTATTATTAGTGTGTATGTGCCATGTGCCATACTGTATAGAATAAACTTTCCATAGAATAGGGTTGAGATTTATTACTATTACTATTATTAGCGTATGTGTGCTATACTGTATGCAATAGACTTTCCATAGGGTAGGGTTGAGATTTGTTTACTTCTCTGCTGCATCCCCGGCCCCTGCCCAGGACAGAGTGACAGCAGTGTAGAATGAATTCAAGGAGGTGTTTCTCCATCTCCCATTTCACATGGGTCTTCCGACAAAGGTTTGATTTTCATTATAGACGATGTTTCTTAAATGACTCATTTATTTTTATTTTACATGCATTGGTGCTTTGCCTGCATACATGCCTGTGTGAGGGTATCAGATCCTGGAGTTACAGATGGTTTGTGAGCTGCCATGTGGGTGCTGGGAATTGAACCCAGGACCTCTGGATGAGCTGTCAGTGCTCTTAATCACTGAGCCATCTCTGCAGCCCCATAGATGATGGTTTGATGTTCGACACTGATGTTTCCTGAAATTAAAACTAAGTGGAAGGAACCTTTAACATCATCACGCTGGAATTTGGACAACGCTGCTTCCCATGTGGATATCCTTCACAGGCACCTGAGAGAGACTAAGACTGAAAGAAGTTGCTTGGAGTCTTTTTCTCAGCATGGGTGACACTTACCGCTTCTGGATTCAAAGAAATGATGGCTTCACCTTCGCGCCTACATTCAAATCGACCTTTCCTGTTTTAGCCTGACTCCTCCAGCCCTTAGAACCCGTTTTCAACTTTGTTCCAGTGGTGTGGCCTTGCTCCCTGCCTTCGCCTTGCTGGAAATAACGCCCACTGAGCTCTGCTCCTGCAGCGGTAGACTTGCAGACTGCGGAGTCATTTAACAGTGTTCTGGAGGAAAAGTTGATGACTCACTCCATAGCCCCTGGGGAGGCAGGAGGTGATTGCAAACAATTTAGAACCAGGCCAGAAAGCCTAGCGTGAATGCCTCGCAGCAATCAAACACCTACCAAAAAGTAATGTCTTGTCTAAACTTGATTGAATGCTGATTTTATTTTTCCAGAAAGATGTTAACTGAACAGTCTGCTGGGCCCAACACTATTTCCCTTACTCTGACACAGTGGAAGTTGTAACCATACTAAGTTTTATAGCATCAGATAAATATGTATTCTGAAAAAAGGTCACCCTAAAGATTTTTAATTTTTTTTTCTTCAAAAGATGATTCTAATTTTATAGGATGGGAGGGAGAGGTGACAGTTTTAATTGAATTTTTATCCAATTAAACGAAGCATTTTTGTTTTTGCTTTTGCTTTTTAAAATAGAAATCAAGATCTAATACACAAACAGTTTAGAACAGGGCAAGAGAGCCTAGCATGAATGCCTCGTAGGAAACAAACATCTGCCCCCCAAAAAATGTCTAAACACAGCCATCTAAGTGGGTACAGAGCCCCAGGAGTACCCCTGTCCCTCTGCCCACCCCTCACCTGTGTCCCCTGTCCCTCTCCCCCATCCCCACCCCAACTTGCCTCTCCGATGCCTTAAACCTTAAACCTGGAAAGGTAGTGATGTTTTTGCTTGTCTAAAGACTTCATTTGTGGGACTGGGAGTGTAGCTCAAGGGTTAGGGTGCTTACTGAGACCTACAAGACCTAGGCTGGATCCCTAGCATGGAAAATGACATCCATCTCGTCAAAGATTGGAAAGGTGACTCAGCTGTTAAAAAGCATACTGCTTGTCTTTGTTTACTTTCTATTGCTGCGGTAAACACACCGACCAAAGCAAACCTGGGGAGAAAAGGCTTTATTTCAGCTTTACACCCTCCAGGGCGTACTCCATTGCTGAGAGAAGCCAGGGCAAGCGCTCTGGCGGGAGTTCTTGCAGACTGTGTGGAGGGGTGTTTCTTACTGGCACAGTCTGCTTTCTGATACCTCCCAGGAAGGACCTCTGGCATGGAATGGCACCATGCATAGTGGGCTGGGCCCTCCCGCATTAATCATTAACCAAGAAATTGCCCGACAGACTTGCTTTTGGGTCAATCTAATGGAGCAACTTCTCAATTAATATTCCATCTTCTGGCCTGCGTTGCCACTGAAGGTCGGGTAGATTTCTGTGGTCTATGTTGCAGCCTGAAGCCATGTTGATGTCCATGACCCCATCTGCATCCGAGACCTCTGTCAGGGTCCATGTTCATATTGCAGGCCGCGGAGCCCAGTTGCCGAGTTCGTTCCCTGTGCTGATGTCAGAAACCATGTAAAAGCCCATAATCCGTTGCTCCCTCGGACCGAAAACAGCAAATAAGCTACTTTGACAGTGATATCGATGACTGCAGACACACAGTTGAGAAAGACTTCTGTGACAACCCCTACCTCCACTCCAATCCTGCCTCCCAAAGTAGTAAACTGTGATAGGGTGCTGAAGTATCTCTCTCCACACCAGATGGCTTCCGGTTGGTTGCAGGAGGGAAAGGACTCAGCCCTATTAAAGGGGCAGGCTGCTGAGAGTTTGTCCGTGCTTCAGTGAGTACATAGATAACACAAACTGGACTTTTTTTTTCCTATTTTGCTGGGGGTGGGGAGACACATGGGCATCGGGGATGAGGGGAGGATGAACAGGGAAGGACTGGGAAGCAAATGTGATGGGATACATGATGTGGAAAGCCCAAAGAATTAATACAAATATTATGTTGGAAAAATGTTCCATCTTCCCACGAACCTAACTTGTGTCAAATTGACAACTAACCAGAACACTGCTGAACTCAGAGTCCCATCACCCATATGCTTGACTCACCGACACCTGACATCTGAGTTTCGGGGAAATTCCAGACCTGTCGCCTCTACAGACATCTGCACACATATACCGCCCCATATGCAAATAATTAAAAGTATTAAAAAGAAATATTTTAAAAATCACCTATTAAAATATTAAAGGTCCTATTCAGAGTCACTGCGTAAACATCCTTGGCTGCTCTTATCCTAATGGCTAGGGCCTTTGTGGAGGACTGTAGAGGGTCCCTCACTGTCCTCAGCTGAGACCTTTGAGGGTGAGAAGGGAGTTAGGTACTAACCAGAGACGGAGGTGGTTGAACAGGGTTCCAGCAGTGGAGCAGGGTATGCAAAGAAACAAAAAAACACGTCATTCACACGTCATTGTCACTTTAGGACAGGGCCCAATTCCTTCTTACCACTGTAAAACAAAACCAAACTGGGTGGGGTGGCAGACACTTGAGGTGTGGAGGCAGGAGGATCTCGAGTTCAGGGCTAACATGAGCTACCAGAGATCTTATCTTAACACAAAACATGTAAGCAGGCAAAAGGTAATAGCAAGAGAAACCCACATCATCATCATCATCATCATCATCATCATCATCATCATCATCCTCATGCCCTAAACAGTATTCTAGTCAGTAGCAATAGCTGGTCATGTGCTTCTTTTGGAGGATTCAATTTCTCTTAAGTGACCTGTCAAGAAGATTAATGCAGGTGTTTCAGGGGTTGTTGCAATGGTTATTACCTAATCACAATGCCAGGGACTTGAGACCTTAAGTAGGAAGTCACATGTCATACTTAGTTGGATAGAGTTTATTTAGTAAATCAGTGATGATTTGATTTTTTTTTTTTGTTCTTGTTACTTTTGGTTTTTCGAGACAGGGTTTCAATGTGTAGTCTTGGTTGTCCTGGAACTCATTCTGTAGACCAGACTGGCCTCAAACTCACAGAGCTCTGCCTGCCCCTGCCTCCCAGCTACTGGGATTAAAGGCATGTGCCACCACAGCCAGGCTGGTTATGATTTTTCTATTATCTTTATCAAATTATTTTAAAGGCGTCTCTCTCATTCTTTTTAAATTCACCAATGAGGACTATTAGTGTAGTAGTGTTTGATTCTGACATACCTGATATTTCTTTGTCCACGAGGCTGTCCCAGTGTCTCAGCAGTTCCAATCTGGTGCTAAGGGCCATAAGGATTCCCAGAGAGCTGCTGGTCTTCAGTCTACACTGGAATCCTGAAGGAGTGGGATTGAATAATAGGGAAGGTACCCCTCAGCAAGAGGATGAGTGAACGTCCCAGCAAGAGTGAGGGCAAGCAAGCAAAAGGCAAAGTGTCCTTCCGTGCCGTTTTATTTGGGATGCCACCAGATGTCACCACATTTGGAGTGGGTCGTCCGCTTTAAGTAATCTCATCAAGAAGACCCCTACAGGAGCGCCCAGTTCATCGAGTTGACAACCAAGGTTAGCTGTCACCGGCATTGAGTAGAATTTCCTGATTTCTGCCTATGAGCACAGAGAAAGGAACTGAAAGATGGGAGGGTGAAGGGGTGTAGAAATCAGAACACAGACAAGTCAAAAGAGCTTCTCCTTTTAAAGAGATACACAGGAAGTCTATTTCTTATTACAAACAAATTAGTAATTGATGTAGGAAATAATCCAGTTCTCTGAGTTTTGACACTAGTTCTTTCAGTAGATAGTACTAATATTTAAAAAGGCAGTGATTGCCAGGAGGTGGTGGCACACACCTTTAATCCCAACACTCTGGAGGCAAAGGCAGGAACATCTGTATGAGTCAGAGGCCAGCATGGTCTACTGTAGCTGGAATTTTCTTCAGGCCATCAACCAGTTCCCAAATAAAGACATGGAGACTTATTATTAATTATGAATGCTCAGCCTTAGTTTAGGCTTGTTCCACTAGCTCTTTTAACTTAATTTAGCCTGTTTTTATTCATCTATGATTTGCCTCTGGGGCTTTTTGCCTTTCTTTCATTCTGTATCCTAATTTCCTGCTTTCTTCATGTCTGCCTGACTGGCCCTTGGCGCCTCTTTCCTTTCTTAATCCTAACCTAAATAAATTCCTCCTCTTACTCTCCCTGCCCGGAAGTCCAGCCTATACCTCCTCTCTCCTTCTTGACTGTTCAGCTTTTTATTAGACCAATCAGGTGCCTTAGGCAGGCAAGGTAAAACAGCAACACACCTTTAAATAATTAAACAAATTCAACACACCTTTTACATGGTTGAACAAATATTCTGCAACAGTCTACAGAGTGAATTCCAGGACAGCCAAGGCTATGCGGTGAAAATTTGTCTCAAATAAACCAGAGAAGAAGAGGAGGAGGAGCAATGGTTGAGTCCTTATGGCTTCTATCAGGCTTTCAGGGACATGGGTTGCTCTGGAGAGATAGTCCAACCCTACTGAAGGCAGTTGAGAAACGTGACACAATATGGTAACAGTAACAAAAACAAGACCTGGATCTCTAGGATTGATTGTTATGTTTACTGAGACAGAGTCTTGTATGTATCCAAGGCTGGCCTCAGACCCCCGTCAATCTTCCTGCTCCACTCTCCAGTGTACCCAGCAGGTTTTGACTATGGAGGAATTTGGTGCCATTTCATCTGGGTTCCCACAGTAATCAGGCTCCGGGGCAGATGTCTGTGTTCAGGAAATATCTTCTAAAGGTTCTGTGGTCAATATTTACGGGAGCATGAAGCCTGTGGGCTGGGGAGAGTGGGAAATGAAACCATGATAGTTGTAATAAAGGTCAAGCGGCCCCACAGGGTGCTCCAGAGATGGGAGGTTCTAACCGAATTAGCCTGCTTCAAGGGGGGAACTTCAGACTTCAATTGCCCTGCAGTCTTTAACAAGTCATCGGAGATAGCCTGCTTTCAGGGAGGCACGGCCAACCTAAGGAAGGCAGCTGTTGGGTGAGGACATTTCTGGTCAAGTTAGCTAAATGTTGCGAAGCCACCACTCCCAGCAGCTGGAGAAGTGAGTGTCAGTTCTGAAAATCTTTATTCCACAGCCTCCACTATAGTTCTCAGCATAGCTTGGCAATGATATTTTCATATGTACATTTGAATTCTCCTACTAATTAACATGATCCTTGTTGACAGATACTCAGTTCTCCTGTAGCTCACAAAAAGTACAGGGGTAACTATATAACTCAGTGGTATTTTCCTAGCGTAAATGAGGTCCTGGGTTAGAGCCCTAGCATGCTCCCCACAGGTGTATAATGTAGTATATGCCAAACCTTTATCAAGAGATACATAATATTTATAACTATTAATGGTGATAGAGGACCCGGGTTTGAGTCTCAGTATCCACATGATCACTCACAACCTTCTACAACTTCAGTTCCCAGGGATCTGATGCCCTTTGCGGCGTCCATAGGCACCAGACACTCACATGGTACACAGATATACATAAAGGCGAAACATTCAAGCACATGAAATAAATAAAAATATTAAAAAGAAGACCTTTTTTGACATGTCATCTCTTCTTAGCTAAGGCTATAATTTGAAACTAGGAATATTATTTGTGAGCTTAAGTACAGCATAATCTTTTTATATATATGTATATTATATGTATTTGTACATACATGCATGCAGTAGTTGGGGTTTGAAGCAGTTGTGAACATCCAACATGGCTGGTAGAAGTGAACCTGGGTCCTCTGGAAGAGCAGTAAGTGGTCTGAATCACTAAGTCATCTCCCATCCCCTATATCATAATCTTAACATTAAGAACTATGTTTGCTTTTTTATTTATTACTGGATATGAAGAGGTTAGAACCCAACAAGTTATGTTAATATAAAAGAGGGAAACCCGTGCTAACTCAGTGTGTTGGCCTTCATTTGTGTTACCCAGGGGCACAGAGCAAGGAAATCAATATCCTTAAGCCCACACTTTAGAAAAAATGGTCATTATTTTAAAATATCCGTAAATACCTTTTTCTTTAAGAAATCGATTAAAGAAATCTCTAAATCTGAAGCAATATGAAGACTTGGTATCAGAAAGATGACAAAATTTGACAAGTCATGGCACCTTTTAAAAATGCGACTAGGGGGGCTGGAGAGATGACTCAGTGGTTAAGAGCACTGACTGTCTTCTGGGTTCAATTTCCAGCACCCACACGGCAGCTCATAACGACCTGTAACTCAAGTTTCAAGGAATCTGACACCTTCATGAAGACATACATGCAGGCAAAAAATGAATGCCCATTAAATAAAAATAAGTAGTTTAAGAAAATGTGGCTTTGGAGTTGAGGAGATGGTTCACTGGTGAAATAATTGTCTTGCAAGCATGGGACCTGCATTTTGTCCTTAGGGCCCACATGGTGGTACATGCTTGTAATACCATTGCAGGAGAAGCAGAGATATGTGAATCCCTGGGCACATTGGCTAACCAGCCTAGCCCATTTGGTAAACTACAGTTGAGAGACTCTGTTTGAAAAACAGAGGAACAACACTTGAGGTTGTCCTCTGCCTTCCATGTACACATGCATACATGAGTGCACACATGTGCAGGAGTTCACGTGCATGCACACACAAATAATTTTGACTTTTGTTGAACAGCTCAGTTATTCTTATTTCATCTAGAAGATCATTTGTTCTATAACCATATTTAGTATACATATATTACTATGTGCACAAAGTAGTTAAATCTAAGGAAAAGACATTCTCCAATTTGTGGAGTTTTTTGTTTGTTTGTTTTTTGTTTTGTTTTGTTGTAATACTGGAGATCAAGTCCAGTACTTCATGCATGCTAGGTGTCTTAGTTAGGATTTCTATTGCTGTGAAGAAACACCATGACCATGGCAACCCTTATAAAAGAAAATATTTAATTGGGGCTACCTTACAGTTTCCGAGGTTTAGTTCATTATCATAATGGCTGGAAGCAAGACAGCATGAAGGCAGACATGGTGCTGAAGAGGTAGTTGAGAGTCCTACATCTTTATCTGCAGGAAAATGGAAAGTAAACTGTGTGTCACACTGGGCGTAGCTTGAGCATAGAAGACCTCAAAACCTGCCTCCCCAGTGACACACTTCCTCCAACTAGGCCATACCTCCTAATAGTGTCATTTCTCATGGACCAAGCAGTCAAATACATGAACGTATGGGGGCCATTCCTATTCAAACCACTGCACTAGGTGAGTGTTCTACCATTGACCCACCTCCATATTCCAATCCCGAAATCCTAACAAGTGCTTCCAACAAGAAGCCACCTTCAGCAACAGTGCTAATAGCAGAAGAGCCCTCACATTGTACTTAACAATTTAAAACTGTAATGAAAGACTTTTTGGGTCACGAAAGCATGGTCTGGCAGGCCTGACTGCAGCTGTTAATATTTCAGGGTACTCAAAAATGACAAATGTGCCAAGGCCCAGATTTCAGAGGCCAGAACATGCTGTCTCAGCTACGGGTCTGAAAAAGTGGAAGGAAACCTCTCCCTGGGAAGCACCATGGCTTTCTTGGGCGCATGAGTGAAAGGAGGGCCTATCCCATCAATTCTGTGCTTTCTCAAGTGTCAAACAAACTTCAGGATGAAGTGTGGCCAAGTTCTGCTTTGGAAAGATACCATTTAGCAAAGTGATACTTATTTTGAAAGAGTCATTCAGAGCTCAAGACAAAACTTCATGGAATTTCATCATATTTGGCTTTTGTGGAATCATTTATGATGGAAATAGGAGGTGGGGTCACCCCAAATGCCACTGAAGCGCTGAGTCTGAGAGGACACTGTGCTCTTGACAGGGGAGGTCTGTGCTGGGGCTCCATAGCCTGTGTGTCCTAGGAATGCTGGGATGAGACAAAACCCCTCCCATGCTCTAACCTCATGATCTAGTCCTGTGCCTAATTCTCTTGTTTCTCTTTTCTTCAGTTCACACATTA